GCTCGCCCCGGTGGGGGACTGCTTCCCGGAGGGGAGACAGGCCTTGGGGCGCAGGCTGCCACCTGACAGAGACGGAAACCAGGCATTTCCCAGGTGACAAACATCAGAGGTGGGCATCACGGCAGGACCAGCAGCCCCATCGGCCACCTGCCAAGGGCTCCAGACAGACCAGGGGGCTTTCTAGAGCTTTTACCAGTGCATGTGTGTCCCACCCTCCCCTCGGGGTCGGCTCATCTCCAGACAAAGAGACACAGCCCCGCAGTCCCTTCCTCCCATCTCCTCTTCCCTCTGCTCCTCTCACTCCTGCCCCTTGTGTGTCCCGAGTCTCGCGCACACGTTCGCCCGTCCCCGTCGTGCAGCATGTAGTAACACGCATGTTGTCTTCTCTTCTTGCCTGTGGCTGTGCTGAGAACCGCGCCTCTAGCTAAAAACAGACCGACCTGGGGCGCCTGGGGGGCTCAGTCGGTTGAGCGTCTGATTGCGGCTCAGGCCATGATCTCACGGTTCAGGAGTTCGAGCCCCACGTCAGGCTCTGTGCGGACAGCTCGGAGCCTGGAGCCTGCTTCGGGTTCTCTGTCTCCTTCTCTCTCTGCCCCTCCCCTGCTCGTGCCCTGTGTCTCTCAAAAAAATAAATAAACGTAAAAAAAATAAAAACGAAAGAACCAAAATACAAACCGACCCCTTCTCTGTTCTGTGGCTTCCTCCCCTGTCCTCTCTCTCTACTTACTTCACGGCTTTTCACAGTAAACGTCTCTGGAGGTTTTTCCTGCACTTCTCGCGCTGGGCTCTCGCTCTGGTTTCTCCACTTGTAGCCGTGTGACCAGGAGCGTCTGCGCAGAGGCCTCGTGTGCTCCTCCTATGTCTGCGGGACGGATCCCCCGCGGCCCGCCTTCCTTCATGACGCTTTCTTTCCAGCCTCTTAATTGTACGTGTTCCTGGTTTCTGTCTCCCCCCACGCCAGCTTTCCCGAGATGGAAGTGACTTCGTAACACTTGCCTGCTGAAGGGTACAGCGTACCGACCAGATGTGCGAGGACGCTGTGGAGTGATGGCCGCGGTGAGTTCTGGCACCGTCCATCACTTCACGCAGTTACACACTTTATTTTCCTAAGATGTGCTTTCTTGGCGACTTTTAAGTACACCACACGGCAGTGTTATCTAGAGTCCCCATGTGGTACGTTACAGCTTGGGGTGAATAATGGGGATTTGTGCTTTTGACCCTCTTCACCCAATTCTCCCACCCTCACCCCTGCCTCTGGCAGCTACCAGTCTGTTCTTGGCATCTGAGTTCGGTATTTCAGATTCCACACGTAAGTGAGATCATGTGGTTTTAGTCTTTATTTGTGACTTATTTCATTGTATTTTATTTGTTTTTATTTTAGAGCGAGCACGAGTGGGGGAGGGGCAGAGAGGGCGAGAGAGAGAATATCCCAAGCAGTCTCCACACTCAGCGTGGAGCCTAACGCAGGGCTTGATCCCATGACCCTGGGATCGTGACCTGAGCCGAAATCAAGAGTCAGGTGCTCAACCGACCGAGCCACCCGGGGGCCCCAGTCTGATTTATTTCATTTAGCATAACGCCCTCAGGATCCGTCCATGTTGTCACAAATGACAGGATCTCCTTTTTTTATGACCCTTGTGTATGTATGCCACATCTTCTTTACTCCTTCATCTCTTGACGGATGCTGATGTCGTTTCCACGTCTTGGGTGTTGTAACACTGCAGTAAATGTGGGGGTGCAGGTACCTCTGAGATAGCGGTTTTGTTTCCTTCAGATAAATGCTCAGAGGTGGGATCGCTGGATCGTGTGGCCATTTTATTTTTAGTTTCTTGAGGAACATCTGTACTGTTTTCCACAGCGGCTGCAGCAGTTTGCACGAGGGCTCCCCTTTGTCCACATCCTCGCCAACGCTTGCCTTTTTGGTAGTAGCCATCCTAGCAGGGGGGAGGCACGAGCTTGTAGTGGGTTTGATTGCCGTTTCCCTGACCGTGGCGGATGTGGAGCGTCTCTTCGTGCACCTGTTGGCCATCTGTGTGTCTAGGGGAAAATGCCTGTGTCGGTCTTTTGCCCACTTATTAATCGGATTCTTCGGTTGTCTGCTATTGAGTTGTATTAGTCCCTTATATTTTCTGGACATCAGCCTCTTGCGAGATGTGTTGTTTGCACATATTTTCTTCAGTTCTGTAGGTTGCCTCTTCATTTTGTTGGTCGTTTGCTGTGCAGAAGCTTTCGGTTTGGTGTGGTCTCACCTGCTTATTTCTTTTTAAATATTTTTATTTTAATTTTATTTTTATTTTTTATTTTTTTAAATTTTTAAATTTATTTTTGAAGGAGAGAGAGACAGAGCATGAGCCAGGGAGGAGCAGAGAGAGAGGGAGACACAGAATTTGAAGCAGGCTCCAGGCTCTGAGCTGCCAGCATAGAGCCCAATGCGGGGCTTGAACTCACGAACCGTGAGATCGTGACCTGAGCCGAAGTCGGTCGCTCAACCGACTGAGCCACCCAGACGCCCCGGCACCTGTTAATTTTTTATTTTGTTGCTTGTGGTTTAGGCGCCACGTCCAAAAAATTGTTGCCAAGACCCAAGTCAATAAGCTTTCCCCTGTTTTCTTCTAGGAGTTCTGCGGTTTCAGGTTCTACATTTAAGTCTAATTGATTTCGAGTTCATTTTTGTGAGTGGTATAAGGCGGGGATCCAGTTTTCTTCTTTATCTGTGAATATCCAGTTTTCCTCACACCATTTAGCAAAGAGGAGTCTTTTCTCCTTTGGGTATTCTTGCTCCTGGTTCCTATCCTTGGTCTCTCTTCTCTCTCTCCTGGTATCTCTGTCTCTCCTCCTCTGTTTCTCTTACACTCCCTGTCTCTGTCTCTGTCTCCCACCTCACTGTCAGTAGGACTGTCTCCTTTGTGACCTGGCTTGGTCATTGCTGCAGAGATGACTCATCATTGTCTACATAGTCTGGGTCGCCCCACGGACTTGACTGCCTTGATCTCTCGTGTCCGTCCTCCTCGTAGCTGTGTGACTTGGTGTCTTGCCAGCACGTCACACTTAGGATAAAAATTGAACTCGTCCCCTGGCATAGCTGCTTTACTCTGGCTCCTTTTTGCCACTTTGTTCCGTCCTCACCGTGGGAGATGCTCAGACCCCAGCGTTGCTGCTGACTCCTCCCCGCCCCAACGAGCCGCCTGACTTCCTCTGCTCTCCCGTCCACTTCGCCCTCTCTGCTGACGAACCCCCTGCCCCCAGAGGCCGTGAGAACCTTCCTAGCAGCCCTGCTTGCTGGTCATTTGTTCTGGCCCGTGCCTTGCTGAGCCCTTCGCTCAGGTTTTACTGTTTGATGCTCTGAGCAGCTGCTGCTCCTAATTCCATTTTGCACATGAGAAAGCTGAGACCCGGGTGATGTGCAGCCAAGGCCAGGTAAGTGGGGGAGCCGTGGTCTGATTCCAGAGCCTGCACTGCATCCCAGGCACCTGGAACACAGCTCTGACTGTGGGTTCCTGCCCCTGTTCCGTGAACCCCCTCCTCCGTGGTCTGTCACTCCCTGTGCTCTCCGGCCTGGCTCCCCTATTCCTTCAGGACAGTGCCTGCCTCTTCCCTCGTGTCCACTGGCCCTCAAGGAGCCCGTGCAATAATGGAGGGCACGGAGAAGGACCGGGCCCGGGCTGAGTGGGCCGGAGGTGGGTGATGCTGTCCATGCAGCACCCAGAGAAAGCCCTGGAAATGGAGCCAAAGACAAGACGAGCGCTGGACGTCTCACTGGAACTGATCTTCTGAGTATGTCTGCCGTGCTCCCCGGGTGCCCCAGGAGGCTAGCCCGGTGTCATGTGCTGTGACTCTCCTGCTTTGGTTAGTTCTCTTTCTCTGCCTCAGGTCAGAGGCACAACAGTCACAAAGTAGTAGGGAACAAATACACAAAGCATAGTCTGTCTGTGTTTGCCCACGTTAGGGCCCCTTTGCACTTGGGATGTTGTAGAACCTAAACCGGAAATAAGATTTTGACTCCCCAGCTGTGGCGCCAGGAGACTCGAGATACAGAAGGCAGGGAGCCGTTGGCAGCCCCCACCTGTGTTAGGTCTTCCTGCTGGGCTCGCAGCGCGTGCGTGTCTGCTGGTCCTTGGGGCGAGGGCCAGCTCATGTGGAGCCCGGGCAGATGGCACGGGAGGCGTCTTGAGCTGACTTTGTATCTGTCTAAAGGAGGGGATAGAATGAAATCGCTAATTCCCGGAGGGGATTTGTCCAGACCTTGAGGGTGATGCCGTGGACAGGCTTGTGGGCAGAGGGCCACCGGGCGTGCCGCTGACGTGCCCAAGCGGAGCAGGTGGCTGGCTGCGTGGTGGCCCCACCCCAGGAGGGCCCGTGCTGGCCCTGTGCTCCAGTCTGTGGAGCGTGGGCTGGGGTCTGGCGTGGGCACTTGCCGTGGTGCAGCCCACATGGGACCCCAGGCCTCCCAGAGCTCAGCCTTTCCACACTGAGCAGAGAGGAGCCGACCCGGGCCCTCCAGCCCCTGCCATCTCTAATTTCTGGGGCTTTCTCTGCTCACCACGGGCTCTCGAGGCTTCTTTGCAAACAAGGAGACGTTTATTACGTTATGAGTGGGGTGTCGCGAGGGTCCTGCCGCTCCTACCAGAGTAGCCTTGCTGTCCCGGGGCAGTAACCTGTGGCACCCGGTGTGGGCCACCTGCTCCTCAGTGGAGCTGGGTCCGCTGTCACGGCGCAGGTGCGGCTCTTGGCGCGGGGCTCCTGGGGAACTTGCTAACAGGGGCGGAAGAGAAGGCCCGGCGAATAAGGCGTCAGCTCCCGTGGCTGCTCCGTTAGATAAGCAGCATGTCTGGGTTTTGCATCAAAAGCCCAGTTTTCTAAGTGCCAAATGCTTTGTGTAAGTACAGGAGAAAGCTGAGGGTGTACCTTTTGTGTAAAGTCTTCCTGTGGCCACAGAGCGTCGGGCCCCAGTGAGCCGCCAAGACATTTCCCTCTCAGTTCTACTTTTGGCTTGTTTCTAGGAATGTTCCGTAGGATCACAGCAGCCGCCTCCAGACTCCTCACGGTGGACAGCAGCGACAGCAGCTTCTACGGCCTGGACAGGCTGAACGCGCAGGTGCGCGCCATGGTGCCCACGCATCCGGCGCTCGTGCTGCTCTGGTGCCAGATCCTGCTGCTCGTCAGCCACACCGACCACCGCTGGTGGGCAGAGGTGCAGCAGACCCCCAGGTACGCCCGCCCCCGTGGGCCGGGACAGCGGTCAGCGGGAGGTCTGGCCCCGTGTCCGTGAGGCTTTGTGCAGATTCCGCTCTCTGTGCGTCCTCCTCTCGTGGGGAGGAACGTGGTCAGACCAGAGGCATTTACAATAGCTGCTGCTTTTTAAGTGTGGTTTCTTTGACAAGTTCTTCGACACTGTCCCTCTTGTGGTTCCTTCTGGTCATGCTGTGTCCCTCTTGCTGGGCTCTCGTCCTTAAATTGGTTCCAGAGCCAGACGTGTTGCAATGTCTTAACTTCATTGTAAGTTAAATGTGGTTCTGGTTATTCTTAGATAATGAAGTAATTACTGAGCAGCATTTCAGAAGTACTTGGAAATGCCCTCTTTTTTATCATTCGAGAAGACTTACTAAGTATCTGATTGGGGGTGACCCCCTTTCTGCAAAGAGTTTTCAGGCGTAAGCCTTGATTTCTGGGCATTTGCACACACGTGGGAATGAAGCTTTGCCACCCATCCCCCAAGCTGGGTCCTCAGTGTGGTGTTTCTGGAAGGCTCGAGGGCCCGTGGTGAGCAGAGAAAGCCCCAGAAATTAGAGATGGCAGGGGCTGCAGGGCCCGGGTCGGCTCCTCTCTGCTCAGCGTGGAAAGGCTGAGCTCTGGGCGGCCCGGGGTCCCATTTGGGCCGCGCCGCTGCTTTCAGCTGGAAAATCCAGTGTTGGCAGGCGTCACTCACTATCCGCTCCGTGCTGTGTGTTGCGGAAGACGCAAAGGAACAGTAACACCCGTTTCCGGCCCTCAGCGTGCTTACGGTTTACTTGGGGAAGACAGGCTACTGGAAACATTTGAAATGCTTCGAGAACATTGTTAAGTTTGTCACGATGACGACCGACGGTAAGAGTCAGGGACAGAGAATGCGTGTCTTCCGCGTCGGTGCTTCCTCAGGGCACACACCAGGCAGCTGCCAGGCTTATTAGAACCAGGGTTGGTTCACCAGGTCACTGGCGGGGCCTGGGACTCTGCTCCTCCGCCAGGCTCCCGGGTGGAGTGATGCTCTGGTCCACGGAGCACACGCCGGGCGAGGCCCTGAGTCCCTGAGGAGTGGGCCTGAGAGCAGCCGGGGGCTCGTGCCAGAGACCCGGACTGTGCGTGCCTGTAGAGAATGCGTGGAGTGCACGTGTGTGCGTGTGTAGAGTGTGTGTGCCCGTAGGGTTTGTGCGTGTGCGTAGAGCACGTATGTGTGTGAGGGCGTGTGTGTGGAGGGCACGTGTGTGTGCACACAAGGTGACAACATACTGGTGGTTGAATCTAGGTGAAGGGTGTGTGACTGCTCATCGAATTAACCTTTCAGCTCTTCTGTTGGTTGGAAAGTCTTCGGAGTAAAAGTTCAGGAAAACAGATCTAGGAAGTCGGGACATTTGAGACCGCCTGGCTCTGGACGGCTCACAGGAGGTTTGCTCCAGAGGGAGACACGTGGGAAGCGGCTGTGAGTTCGAACGGCTCCAAATCCTCCCCACCCGGGACGTTACAGGCGCTTCCCTTCTAGGCCTCGGAGCGGGTGCAGGGCGGTGTCATTACAGTTTTCATTCGTGTTTCTCTCATGACTTAGAAAGTCAGTCGTGTTTTCACGTGCCTGTTGGCCATTTGTATACCTTCTGTTGTAAAGTACACATTCAGATGTTTGCTGTTTTTTAAGATTTGGCTGTCTATTGTCTTGTTACTGGGCTGTAAATTTTTTATATTCTGGATGTAAGCTCTTTGTCAGAGGTAACGTTAAAGTTCTCTCTCGTTCTGTGGTTTGCTGTTTTATCTTCATGATTTAATTTGAGCAGAAACGTTAAAATTCTATGCAATCAAGTTTGTCAGTTATTCTGGTTCATTCTTTTTCTGTCCAACCCAAGAAATGTGTGCCTCCCCCAAGAGCACCAAGATTGTCTTCTGTGGCTTCTTCTGGAAGTTCCATAGCGTTGGTGCTCACCGCTACGAGCTAACGTTTGTGTGTGACGAAACGTGCGGGGTGCTTCGGTCCGCATTGCGTGTGGAAAAGGCCGTCCCGCCTCTGTTGAGTCCCTGTGGCACCTGCCTCAGAACCCAGTAGGCACCGGTGTGCGGACCTGCCTCTGGGCCCTGCTCACGGCCGTCCCTCCGCGCTGCCGGCACCGCCACTGCGTCCCTCGGCCGCCCTGCCGCTCCCCCAGCTTCCCTTCACGTTCAACATGGCTTTGGCTCTTTTACGTTCTTTGCGTTTCCACCTGTATGTCTTCGAATCCGGTTGTGAGTGCAGACGAGCCAGCGGCGGGGGCTTGACTGAGCTTGCAGCCGGTCTGGAGAGTGATCTGGGGAGCCCCTGTCCCGCATCCAGTCTTCCCGTCTTCGAACTTGGCCTCTCTCCCTGCTGAGTTAGGTGCTGCGTGTGCCACGACCGTCTCCTAGTGTCTGGCGTACGGGGGTCACGCGTGTTTCTGAATTGTTTCTGCGCTTCGTCTGGGATGGCGTGTCAAGTGCTGCTTTCAGAAGTGTTTTGTTTTACGTGGTGTGCCGCCAGCTTCTGGAAATGCAAGTGGTTTTGTGTACTGACTTCACGTCCCGAGACCTGGCCCGACTCGCGCGGGGGCCCCAGGAGGCTTCTCTGTGCACACACACGTGTCACCTCCAGGTGGAGACTTTGCACTTCTTCCTTCCCCACTCGCATTCCTGCTTTCCTCTCTTCTGCTTCAGGACGCTGACCAGGCCCTCCACACAAGGCTGGCCTCCTGTGTGTGTGTTTCTCGTGGGGTCCACGGGTGCCACTTCCATAACGGCTCCTGTCCACTTGCTGTCCAGGGCGGTGGAAGAGATGGACTTCGCCACTTGACAGCATTTAAGACACGGAAACCGCAGAGGTGTTATTAATCGCAGTGTTTCGCTTCCCTTTTTTAAAAATTTGTTGTTTTAAGTAATCTCTATCCCTAACGTGGGGCTCAGACTCACAACCCCGAGACCTAAGAGTCACATGCTCCACAACAGAGCCAACTGGGGGCCCCAGAGAAGACAAAAACAGATTTAGTCAGTAGACTTAAATGCTTGAAAAATCCGAACAACCTCGAGAGTCAGTCACTGTCAGAGGCTGCAGGCGTCCCCTTTGCTTTGGGGAGCTGTGTAGGTGGAGCACCCGCCATGGCCACAGGGCCCCTTCGACCAGGTGGGTGTGCAGGAAGAGTCGCGCTCCTCCGGTCTGCCATGCTGGATCCTTGCCGGTCTCTTTCCATTAGTGTTAGGTGCTTGTGTGTGTGTGGGCGGGGGCAGTGTATGCGTGGTTATGTGTGTCGTATTTGTGGTGTGCGTACGGTCTGTGTACGGCGAGTGTTTGGTATTTGTGTGGCGTGTGTTTGGCTCTTTTTGTGTTGGTGGGAGTTAACCCGCTAAGTGCCTCCATCAACTCTGGGATGTCCTGTTCAGACCACCCGCTCCTTTTCTGTTGCGTGTGCCTTTGTTTATTCTGACGTTACGTCAGAAACCTCTGCATCTGTGAATTGTTTTCTGGGGCTGGCAGGAGGGCTGAGAAGAGGAGACGTTTCTGTTTGTCGGTTTTAAATTGACTTACGACTTACAATACAGGACAACCCACTCTCGTACCAAGTGTCAGGTGAATGCCACCACAGTCACGATATAGATCAGTGCTGTCACCTCAGAAGATTCCCTGCGTCCTTCGTGGTCACCCCCATACCCTGCCACTGGTCCATGCTCTGTGCTTGTGTGTAGCCTGTTGCACGGTGCCGTTTGGATGGAGTCACACAGTCCGCGCTTCTTCAGTCTGGCTTTGTCACTTGGCGCACTGTATTTAAAGGTCTTTTATGGCGCTGGCGCGCATGTACCGGTGATCTGTTCTTGGGATCAGCGAGTAGTATTCCCTTGTCTGCGTGACAACAGCTGGCTCGTCCATTCACCAGGTGAGAAAAGGCAAAGTGCAGTTTGAACAGGTTTCTAACCTGTAGAATATTTTAGACCAGTTCCCTTGTAAATCCCGAAGTGTCAGAAGAGAAGTTGACACATTCCAGAACATTCTCGTCCTCGTGTGACCTCTGTCTCCACTAAGCTCTTTGCCACCGAGGGAAGGAGATTGTCCTCACACTTAGGCCGGGGCAAGTTTGTGGGAGTGGCAACAAGTGTGTGAAGGGTTGTGGCGGAATCGAGGGTTCCGAGTGTGTGATTCCCCTGGGCTGAGAAAGAAAAAGACTGGCTTCCCTAGAGGCGGTGGATTTTGCACACCTGCTCTCTGCCGGGACCTCGGTGAGCGTGCGCTTCCCTGGTGACTCGTGAAACACGGTAGGCAGCTCGTGCGGGTGCCGGCGCTGGGGTCCCCACGGCAGCTGCCTTGTCCGGCGCGGTGGCCGAGAGCCTCGGCGCCTGAGTGCCCATCCACCTGCAGCCTCGGGCCGGCCTTGGCCTTTAGGTCAAGCATTTGGCGGTTTGCCCGTGAGACCCTCTTCTTTCTTTCGTTTTCCACGCATGCGCTGCCGTAGCTCAGAGGCCAGCGGCTAAGAGCGCACGTCACACACGCGGTGGGGGTGGCCGTCCCAGAGGCGTCAGCACGCCTGTTCCTCCTTCCAGGAGACGTAGTCTGTCCAGTACGAAGTCACTCGGCCCCCAGATGTCCGGAGAGGAGGGGGACTCCGACGCGGCCAGTAAACCCGGAATGTGCAACAGAGAAATAGTGCGGCGGGGAGCTCTCATTCTCTTCTGCGATTATGTCGTAAGTCGGGAAACGAGGGGTGTGGTGGGGCAGGGGCAGCTTCCGCGGAGCCACCTCCTGCCACCCAGCCACCAGCCCGGAGACCACAGGACCGTGGACCGCAGCGAGCGTTGGGTCCCGCTCCGGCTGGTCGCGGAAGGAAGGTTTGTCTGCAGGTCCCGTGCCTCTGGCACCTGGTCGGCCTGCCTGTGTGATAGGAACGAGCCGAGAGTGTGACTTTTGAGTGCGGCTCTCCTACGAGGTTCGTCATCTGTGGGAAGGGCCTTAGGGACCTGTTGCTTCATTTTAAAGTTGCTTCCTGGGGTGCCTGGGGGGCTCAGTCAGTTGGGCCTCCGAGTTCGGCTTAGGTCAAGATCTCACGGTTCGTGGGTTCGAGCCCCTTGTCGGGACCTGTGCTGACAGCTCGGAGCCTGGAGCTGCTTCGGATTCTGTGTCCCCCTCTCTCTCTGCCCCTCCCCGGCTCACACTCTATCTCTCTCTCTTTCAAAAATAAATAAATGTTAAAAAAAATTTTTAAGTTAAAAATTCCCTGGTTAAATGCCATCCGTTTTATTTTATTTTATTTTATCTTTTATTTTACTTTATTTTTATATTACGTTATGATATTATTTTGTTTTTGAGTTTATTGATTTTGAGAGACACAGAGACAGCATGAGTTGGGGAGGGGCAGAGAGAGAGGGAGAGAGAAATCCCAAGCAGGCTCCACGCTGTCAGCGCAAAGCCCAGTGCGAGGCTCAAACTCACCAATCATGAGATGATGACCTGAGCCGAAACCAAGAGTCGGATGCTTAACCGACTGAACCACCCAGGTACCCCATATGCCGTCCTTTTCAAAAAGATAGCATTTGCGGAGCTGTTGGCCATCAAATGAGCATCACATGTTTCACAGAGAAAATTGATAAAAAGCAGGGGTGCCTGGGTGTCTCAGTTGAGTGTCTGACTCTTGATTTTGGCTCAGGTCACGTTCTGACGATTCATGGGATTGAGCACCTTGTCAGGATCTGTGCTGACAGCATGGAGCCTACTTGGGATTCTCTCTCTCCCTCTTTCTCTGCTCCTCTCCTCCTCGTGCACACTTTCTCTCAAAATAAACATGAAGAAAAAAGAAGAAAATTAACAAAAACCAATAAACAGAAGAAGATACCATCTCCTTGTAATTGCATTACTCAAGAAACCTGTTGAGGCATTTTGGCTGGAATTTGGTGCTTTTCCTCTCCCAATACAGAGCATGTGCACGTCTTTGGCACTAACATGGCACCATGCACATGCTGTTTTCACACAGCAGAGGGCATGACATTCTCAGTCGGAAAGGAAGGGGACTCTTTCAAGGAACTAGTTGTCATCAGAGAGATTTTTTATTGCTACTCACTTTTTTTACTTACATTCTTTACATTGACATAGTTTTTCTATCTTATTCTACTTTTGAGAAATAATTACATGATGCTTTCACAGAAATGTAAGAAAAATACGAATTTTATAAACTAATGCTATCAAGTTATCCCCCATAGAAAATATTAATCAGTAACCGTGTCAAAGAATTGTTCTTATTTTACAGTTTCTGCCTAGGAGGATTATGAATTAAGATGAGAAAGCAACATACATATTTAAAGATGGGGAAGAAAAAGGCGAGGGGGGGGCGCCTAAGTGGCTCAGCCAGTTAAGTGTCTGTCTGGCTTTGGCTCAGGTCTGATGTCACCATTCGTGAGTTCGAGCCCCACATCAGGCCCTGTGCTGACAACTCAGAGCCTGGAGCCTGCTTTGGATTCTGTGTCTCCCTCTCTCTCTGACCCTCTCCCGCTCACACTGTCTCTCTCTCTCTCTCTCTCTCTCTCAAAAATAAATAAACCTTAAAAAAAAATAATAAAAAAAATAAAGACAGATATTTATTTCCTTATAAATCTTAAGTTTCACCCCTTAATGTCCATGTGGAATTTGTTCATATTTTGGATTCAGGCGTTCTGTCAAAACTGTGACAGTTGTGGGAGCCCTTTTTCTCCAGTGACCTGTCACAGGATTGGAGAAGGAGAACCAGAGAACACTCTCACTCTCGTTGGGCTGGATCGAAGCCCGGACAGAGCAGGGCCTGCCGTGCATGGGAGTGTCTGTCACCTGGTCTCCTGCATCACGGCTCGGTCCAGTCACCTGAGGGCAGGGCGATGTCGGCCCCGCTGTGCCCGCTGCCCTGGGGTCACTGGTCCATGGCAGGCGCCCGTTGACCCCTGTAGCCCTGGGCCTTGCTCCTCTCTCCCCCTACCCCTTGGCCGGTGTCCCTCGGAGCTGTGCTGGAGTGTCACATTTCCCTGGCGGGGTCTGACATCCAACAGCTTTGGCCACATCGTAGGGTTGAAGGCAACGGAGTCTGTGAAGTGAGCTCCGACCCTGATGATCATTGGTGGTCAGACACTGGACGTTTTCAATGAAGATCATAATTTGGGATTTGTTTTCCCCTTCCTACCTCTTGTGGCCTTTTCTGTGGCATCAGTATCCGTTCTGTGCTTGTCTACTTGGAAACGAGTCTTTCACTGTCTTTTTTCCTCAGTGTCAGAACCTACACGATTCAGAGCACTTAACGTGGCTCATCGTGAATCATATTCAGGACCTGATCAGTCTGTCCCATGAGCCTCCCGTGCAGGATTTCATTAGTGCTGTTCACCGGAACTCCGCCGCCAGTGGCCTCTTCATCCAGGCAATTCAGTCTCGTTGTGAGAACCTTTCAGCCGTAAGTCTCTCTAGTGACGACTGTTGCCAGTCCGTTTTTTTCTCTGCCTTAAACACGTACCGTCGGAACTTTGAAACTGCTGATGTCCGGTTGGCAAAATCCTGTGCCCTTGCTGCTTTCCTTCTCCCCACCTCCAGCCCACCACCCTGAAGAAGACGCTTCAGTGCTTGGAAGGGATCCACCTCAGCCAGTCAGGCGCCGTGTTAACACTGTATGTGGACAAGCTTTTGTGCACCCCGTTCCGAGTGCTGGCTCGCATGGTCGACACCCTTGCCTGTCGCCGCGTGGAAATGCTTTTGGCCGCAAATTTGCAGGTACTAGAAAAACACTGAGACTGATTTTTACTGAGAAGTTAGCAGAGCAGGCAGAACAGTTGGCTGGTTTTTTCCTCCACAGGCATAGTCTTCACATGGCCGCTGAGGGACACATATACAAGATGTGTAAATTCCTTGTGTGCCTGATACGAGTGCTGCCTGTACTTTCTACTCGTAAACTGTACACGTTACTCTTTGCTTTTTAAATCAGCGCAAGGTTATTTGGATTCATTACGTGCTGACGTGTTATTGTCCACTGCAGAGCAGCATGGCCCAGTTGCCGGTGGAGGAACTAACCAGAATCCAGGAATACCTTCAGAGCAGCGGGCTGGCTCAGAGGTAATGCTACAACCAGGCGTTCCTTGCTTTTGGATATAAAGGCTTCGATCTGTAAGGGGATAAGCTCAGGACGAGAGATCGATGTGCCTTGTAGGTGAGTTTACCGCAGAAGGGCCTTGAGAGAAGGCCTTCCTAAGTGACACGGAATGGGACTCACTTTATAAAAAGGGAGATGAACAGACAGCACTGTGTCTGCCGTCGGAGCAGACACGCCTGCGTCCCCTTGGCTGCCTGAGAGGTTGTACGTGTTCACCAGGCTGTGACAGAGGAGAGGGTCACTCGCCTTATCTTCGCAAAACCGCAGCGTGTAACCTAACTGCTGCGCAACAGCGGGCCTGTCTGAAAGACGTTACCCAGTTTTCGGTGTGCAAGAATTATATTTGCGTCTTGTTAAAATGTTACCTCTGTGTGGTATTTATCACCTGATTTTGTTGCATAGTCTTTTAGAAGCCTTATCAGAAATCCTGACATCTGTTATCGATTTCTTCAACTAAATAAATAAAATATGTTTTACCTTTAGATTTTACCTTTTGCCCTCACAGGGGGGAAGGCGTGTGCCTGTGAGCGCATGCGCGCGCGTGTGTGTGTGCAAGAGAGACAGAGAGACAGACAGGGAGAGAGCCAGAGAGGGAGAGCGGGAGGGAGAACGGGGTAGAATGCCTGTGCTGTGGATCGTTGCCGGTGTCTTCCCTGGGGAAGGGGCCTAACCGGGTAGACAGCACACGGTTTGGACGGACGTGCAGTTTGCTGGGCCGGTCATACTGTCATTTGCATCATGAAGTCGTTGCTCTCTTAGCAGATAGCGGAAAGTCAAACCATTATTTTTTGATTCTACATTTAGATTTCAGACCAGATGAGGAAGATTATATAAATATCTTGTTCAAGGTGAGGTGCTTCTTCTATGAAGTGAACATAAATTGGTATAAATTTTATCGTGTTGGGAGAATCAATGGGAGATTTTGTGCACTTGGGTCTTAGAATAGATGATCTATTTTGCATTTGTAAAGAATGCTTTTATTAGCTGTTAAACCATGTTATTGCCTGTTAGGATGTTCGAGTATAAATGAAATGTCTGCAAAACGTTGGTGGGGCATGAACTGTGCTGTTAAAAATAAGCCAGAGCCTGAAGCTGCATCACCACCTGTCTGAGCATTGTTGAGGCAGCTCTGAAGAAAACGTGTCAGATGTGTCGCATCCTGCTTTAGGAAGCCACCGTTACTTCTTACCCGTGAAGCCGTGCTCTAACCCCACGTGTGGTCCTATTCCAGACACCAGAGGCTGTACTCCCTGCTGGACAGGCTTCGTCTTGCTACCGCACCGGGCTCCCGTGGCCCTTCTCCTCCAGTCACGTCCCACCCGCTGGACGGGGATGGGCCCCTGGCACTGGAGACAGTCATTCCAGACAAAGTAAGTGTCTGGCCGTGTGTGCGTGTGACACACAGGGCCCGGGCACTCCGTGCTCCCGTGAGCCTTTGGCAAATCCAGAGGGTGCAGCGGGGCGGCTCAGGCAGCGGGGCGTCCTGAAACGTGGCGTGGCTCCCGAGGGCTCTCCGCCCGTCCTGCTTCTTGCTGGCAGTGGGCGGGGTCCCATCACTGACAGGATGCCTTAGGTCCAGCCCAGGTCATCAGCAGGAAGTGTGGGGTGAGAGGAAACGCTGATTTGGGACACTTCTGGCGTCAAGCAGAGGGGCATCGGCACGGTTAGCAAACGGGAGGCAGGGGAGGAGTGGCCGTGGCCCACGTAGCCCGAAGTGCCTGCCCCCCTGGCCTGTCTCCCTCTCCTTAAACCTGCCGACCTGCGTGCTGAGCTCACCGTCCCAAGGACCCTGGTACTTGCCGTCACCCTTAGTACTCAAACTGCAGAGCTGGGGACCATTTGGGGCCTCGACAGATCCTTGGTACTCTGTTTTCTGGAGGGAGGTCAGCGTAGATGTGAACTTGGATTTTGAAAACCCATAGCCCAGGCACAGAGTGGCAAAGTTCAGGCCTCTACACTCAGATTCGATTTGTTCGGAGCCTCTGCTGCACTGGCCTTGGAGAGGAAGGAGCGAGGCAGACACCCCAGTAGAAGGTGATCAGAGCATTCCCAGGCGAGGGGTGGACAGTGGGTGAGGGCACAGGGAGGAGGGCCTGCTGGCCCCACACTTGAGCTGTTAGGAGGGCACTGGAATGTTCACCGGGTAAGGGAGGAGAGGCTGTCCAGTAGGTAACGGCGAGTCCAAAGACAGCCTTGTAGCAGTTCCCGTGGCAAAGGCCTGTGGTTTGGTGAGCAGCCGCACGGCCAGCTGGAATCCAGTTTTACTGAAGCTGCATTCACGGCCCATCTGGGGCCCCCTGTCCTTTGGTCTGGGGCCACAGGATGTGAGGGGCAGTGATCACAGAAACAGCACGTGTTCAATAGGGTTGAAGCCCCTGCCCAACTGCATGGCGTTCTCCTTTTTCTTCTTCCCAGGACTGGTACCTACGTCTAGTCAAATCCCAGTGCTGGACTAGGTCAGATTCTGCGCTGCTGGAAGGGGCAGAACTGGTGAATCGGATTCCTCCCAGTGACATGAGCACGTTCATGATGAACTCGGTACGGTGGAGAGCAGCAGGACGCCGGCAGGATGCTGGACTGGCTTCATTATCACGTGACTGACTGAGGACGTGTGCCACTCGCTCTTCTGCCTTAATGGCAGAGACTCTAATCCAGACAGGATGGAGCATGGGAGTCTCTGGGCTAGGTGGGACGGGACATGGAGAGACTAACCCATTCAGGGGAGAAATTAGGGAGACATTAATCCAGACGGGGCAGGACGAGGCGAGACTCTAACCCAGACGGGGCATGACGAACGGAGGCTCTAACCCGGGGGTGGGGGGTGCAGGACAAGAAGAGGCTCTAACCCAGACGGGCAGGACATTGTTTCAGCCACATTAGAATCCAAAAGGAAGTAAATTGTGTTTAATTCAGCTTTTCATGCCCTTGAAGGAAATAGGTTCTCAGATTATTGTCTGTTCCCATTGCATATTCTCATAGTCATGAGGAAAGGTATTGAAATGGTATAGTACACGATTTAACTGACTCTCATGGCATTCCGGAAATTGATCTTCAGTAAGGCCCCTCCCCTTATGTTATGTAGTGAGGTCCTCTTGCCCCCACTACTTATAGTGAGGGCCTTGTACCTCTCCTACATACAGTGAGGTTCCCTCCATTACTTGTAGTCAGGCATTCCCCAGCCCCTCACTAGATGTCATGAGGTCCCCGTCCCCACCCTTGATGTCGTGTAGGCATGCAGGCAGAGCCGACCCAGGAGGCCCTTGCAAAGCATCCGAGTCCCTGTCCCAGCTCTTGGGCAGGTCCTGTGAGGAGTGGAGCCCTCCCCTTCTGTACCATCCACAGCCTTTGCTTCCTTCCCAGACTTCCTGGGGCAAGCAACTGACTAAACCTAGGTGTTTCAGTGCTGCCTCAACATGTACCGGATGGGAATGCAGAGCAGCAGGGGCCTGGGGGGCCAGCAGGGCGGCTGCGTGGAGGGTGGGGGGCCGGCAGGGCAGCTGCGTGGAGGAGGGTGGGGGGCAGCAAAGGATGGGCTGGGTGAGGAGGAAGAGACTCAGGGTAGAGGCCACACAGCAGTCTTTGACCAAGTGCTGATTTTTCATTAGTCTGACAGTAGGGGCTACATTGAAAAAACAGAATTGGCTCCAGTCAGTTTGCTGAAATCGTTTTAAGCTCCATTCAGTGAAAGCTGATTTGCTGAATAAATTTGATGATCTATTTATTGAATTTTCCAATTCAGTAATTGGACTTTTAATAGCTTTAAAGGTTCTAGCTGTAGCAGAAATTTCAATTTTGGTCACTGATGATGACCTAGCTTTTCTGAATGTTACCTAAAATAAGATGAATATTCTACCTGAAAATTGGCCCCTAAGATCCTTAAATGGTTTTTTAAAATTGGCAAAACAGTACAAATTGATACATGGTCATAAGAAATGCTGTTTTCTTAACCACCATCATGGCTTTTTGACTTATTTCACCTGCTTTTGAACATACCTTTTTCAAACTTGGTGAATGTGTGGTGTTTCACTGGATTTCTTGGGTGCCTTGTCAGCTTCGTTTTGTATTTTTATCAATTAAAAATTATATGTGTTTAAAAAAAAAAATTATATGTGTTAAATTTTTTATTTCAAACAAATCCGAAGGTATAAATGATTTAAAATATTTCTTTAAGAATAAAGTACCCCAAAGAGATCAGAAATAAACTTCACCGAGCATATGGTACTTATTACGGAAAGTAGACTACTCTTTAAGATATTTTTTATGGGGCACTCGAGGGTGTTCTCTCAGAAATGTTCGCATCGTCCTTTCTTCTGTGTGTTTTTCTTGCCTGCTCGAAAGTGTGTAATTGTTGTTACTGAACCTTTAACGTCCTGATTCAGGAATTCAACTTAAGCCTGTTGGCGCCGTGCCTGGGCCTTGGCATGCGCGAAGTCTCCGGAGGCCAGAGGAGTCCACTTTTCGAAGCAGCTCGCCTGGCGACTCTGGACCGTGTGACCGGCCTGGTGCAGCAGCTCCCTGCCGCCCACCACGTTTTCCAGCCGTTCCTGCCCGCAGAGCCCACCGCCTACTGGAACAAGTTGAATGATCTATTTGGTAGTTAAAATAGAAACTTCTTTTATTTCTTAAACATGCTGCAGAGCCAGTACTGTGCTTTGCACTGAGTCAAGATACAGTAAATACCGTTGATCTAATAAACTGAGAGCACGCACAGAGGTGACTTGAGAAACAGTGCTGGGACCCCTAGCTCTGGGTGTCTCGGCATGTTTGCCGATCCTTGGCCCAGCCCTGGAGGGGCACTGAGACAGGCTCTGAGGAAGGTGCATCCCGAGTCACGCGTGGAGTTAGGTGTGGGTGCGGATGTGCTTCTGAGCCGCGGGTGCCTGCAGATTCTCGGAGAACGGCCTCACTGCCGTTCACGAGCCTCTGCTAGAGTTGCGCTCACCCCCAATCTTGTGTTTTAGGGGATGCTGTGTTGTATCGCTCCTTGACCACTCTGGCCCGGGCTCTGGCCCAGTACCTGCTGGTATTCTCCAAACTGCCCGGCCACTTGCACCTTCCTCCTGAGAAGGAGAGGGACACGGTGAAGTTTGTGGTCATGACCCTCGAGGTAAGAGGCAGCTGGGGAAGTCATTGTTTCCGTGCTGAGGGACTGTCACTAGAGAAGTAGGGAAGGCAGTTTTGTCTATAACCTGGGAGCTGTGCCGTCAGGCAGGCTCCCCTTCTCACAGAGACACTAACTATAGGTGGTGAAGCATCACACCTGTCACCTGCTCAGAGCACGTTCACATCCCCCGATCGTGCTGCTTTCTCACAGGTGCCTTGGGAGATTGGCAACATGGTACTTCCTGTCCCTACCTTAGAGCTGGCCCTGGAGAGCTGGGCCTGGGACCTGGACTTCCGCCCACAGCTGTCTCCCCCTGCGTGTCTGGGGCGAGGGCGCAGGTCATAGAGGAGGGTCTGGTGGGGAGAAGCAAGGGTCACTGGAGAGATGGGCAGAAACCTCTCAGGGATCTCCCAAACAGTGTTGGAAGTCACGTGCTTGTGTGTAGACCTCTTTGCTTGATGCTAAGCTGCCTCTCATTTCAGGACAGATAGCCACTAAATTTATTTTTCTAGGGAAAAGGAAGCACCACTGATGTAGTGTGGATCCTAATTTGGATAATCAAAGAAAAATAGTCTGGGAAAATTATTATGCTTTAAATTGAGAAATAAACCTGGACATTTCAGCCATGGGGAATTAAACACTCTGTGTTGGCACTTACAGTCACCCCTAAAATGTGTACATGATGTGGGTGTGTTACCTTTCCATGTAATTTCTGGAAAATAGTCTAGCCTACATCCTTGCAGCCAGAGACCTGAGCTGTGTCTCTCAGCCGAAGCAGGACACGGCTGACCCAGCGTCAACTCCGCCTGCCAGTCACAGCAGGGAGAGAGAGAGAGAGAGAGAGAGAGAGAGAGAGAGGTGTCAGGAAGGCACCGTGCGGTCGTTCGTGAAGGGATGAGCAAGCACCCGCCTAGAGGCAGGCTGAGTCACATGGCTGCTGATCCCTGTCCTCTGGTCTCAGTGTGGCGAGCAGGCCGACAGGCAGTACGTCTCCGTACAGAGTGATGGCTGGCCGCCGCGGTCCTGTGCCTGCTGCATACAGGGCGAAATGCTTCCACGCGTCCACTCATTCAGGCCTTACTGCAGTTCTGGGACATGGGCTCTGTTATTCCCATTTTGCAGACGAGGAGGGCAAGGCTGAGAGAAGTTGGGTGGCTTGCCCAGGTTTACTCATTAGGAGGTAGCCAGTAGACATTTGAACCCAAGCCTGGCCACGTCCAAGACCCATGCTCTCAGATCCAGCCTCTGACTACGACACGGGCAAGGCCTGCCTGTGCCCGGGGAGCCCCGAGTAAGAAGACCTTGGCCTGGAGGCCATGTAGCCAGCAAAAGATTTCTTTCTTTCTTTTTTGAGTTTTTTTTTTGTTTTTGTTTTTGTTTTTTTAACATTTATTCATTTTTGAGAGACAGAGAGAGAGACACAGCACAAGTGGGGGAGGGGGACGCTGAGAAAGGGAGACTCAGAATCCCAAGCAGGCTCCAGGCTGTGAGCTGTCAGCACAGAGCCTGATGTGTCAGCACAGAGCTTGAACCCACACACCGTGAGATCATGACCTGAGCTGGAGTCGGACACTTAACCGACTGAGCCACCCAGGCGCCCTGGCCAGGGAAGGATTTCTAGAGAAGCCTACAGAGCTGACGGAAAGAGGAGCAGCGAGATCAGGGTGGCCATTTCGGCAGAGAGGAGAGCCCCAGGCACTTTTGGGAGCAGGTGGTCAGGCACGAATGTAAGGGACTGGGCGACAGGGGCCCATTCCTCTGGAAGGGTGTCACGACCTGCTAGCCTCTGGCGCTTTGGACAGTTCTCTGAGAGCTGGGGGTCGTTTGCTCCCTGACAGCCCGGAGACAGGAAGGAAGCAGGTCTGAGCCGTCTGTAACACTGACCCTCCCCCCTAGGCCCTGTCGTGGCATTTGATCCATGAGCAGATCCCGCTGAGTCTGGACCTTCAGGCGGGCCTGGACTGCTGTTGCCTGGCCCTGCAGCTGCCCAGCGTCTGGAGTGCACTCTCCTCCCCAGAGATGGTGACCCACGCCTGTTCTCTCATCCACTGTGTCCGCTTCATCCTGGAAGCCAGTGAGTCTGTGGCCACAAGGGCTTTCTCTCCTTTCTCACGTGAACCAGTCATCAGCTCTGCAGGTCGAGTCGTAGGCATTTATTTGGCACCACCTGTTTACCAGGTGCTGAGCAAGGAATTGGGGGTGAATCGGTGAATAAAATATGAGCCTTGTGTTCATCTCCAATGTCTTGGATTCTGCACTGGAATTAAACTGGAATTTGCTTTTGTAGTCATTTTGTTTAGATTTTAGAGTTCCAACTTTCATAAAAAAAATATTTCCAATGTTATGCCCCTTTGATCTCTGGTCCTAGCTGACTGTTTCATGCTTTTAGTCCCAGATGACCATAAGATTTAATAAGATTACATTAGAAAGATTGTTTTCTGTTATAGTCAAAATGCTTATTTCTATAATGCATTGTAATACTAATATATTATAAAATAAAAGTGACTTATTCTTTTCAAGGAACAGTGTCCTTAACAAGGGTCATTAGCCAGAGTTTCTTAAAAATTGGACATTATAGTTTACATGTTAGAGGGTGTTTTGAAGTTTCATTGTTTAAATTGTTTTCGTCTGTGCATTTGTAGTCAACTTGAAAACAAAGATCTAGGGAGCAATTTTTCAAAGCCAGACTTCTTGGGGATTGCAGTGATGCTCTTAGCAGTAATGAATCACGAGCTGTCTGATAAAAACCTTCAGGGCGAGAGGTGGCAGACTTAGAAATCTCCACGTAGAAGTCGAGTCCTGAGCGTCGTAGGCTAGCCCAGAGACTAATAATACCCAAGGCTGGTACTGTCGAAAACCTAGACCTCATTTGACTCAGTCTCTCACCTTGAGATGTTGTAAAACTACGCAAATGTGACATCTTGAATAAAAAGAAGTAGTAAAGTTTGTTCTCTTGTGATTTTAGTTGTGGTGCAGCCTGGGGACCAGCTTCTTAGTCCAGACCGAAGGATGAACACCCCAAAGGCTGCCAGAGAGGACGAAGTAGATTCAAACACACAAAGTAAGTCTCAAGACCCACTTTTTTTCTTACCCTGTTTCTTTGGGGTCTTGAAATTCATTAATAAAAGAGACTTTTAAAACGGTAAGTGTGGACTCTTAAAACGTTACTTAGTTTAGCTGCACTCTGTTGCTTCCCTCTAGTTGCTTATCTCTGGAGCGTAGTTTGCGGCTTCACCTCGCGTGTGCTCTTTCCCCTGCTGGCATGCTGGCTCTGTCCATCTGGCCTCCTTGGTCCCCCAGACTCAGCTGGGGCGTCACCCCCCCAGGGAAGCCCTCCGGGGTCCCCACAGCCACTCCTCCCCACCTAGCGCTTCCGTCCTCTGCAGGGCTTCCTGCTCTGGTCTCTCACCTAGACTCTGAGCTCCCTCAGGGCAGGGACTCTGTTCCCTCTCTGTGTTCTCGCCTTTGTAAACGCTCGACAGATGTTCCCTGAGTAATGAATAAGTGGAATTGCTGAGAAGCTCGAAGTTAGTGGAAATACCCACGTGAATGATAGGTGACCAGAGCGTCTATTTCAGCCGTGTGTTGTGGTGGATTTTTAAATGAAATTTACTGCTCTTCCTACAAAAAACATGTCCACATCCCATTTATTTACAGCTTTTCTAGATTTAGATGGGATCGTTCTCATCTCTTGATTCCAGCCTCTCACTCTTTAAAATGTGGTGAGACAGATTGGGAGGAAAGCTCTGGGCTGAGCGACTGCTTGTCGCTGGGGGGACCTCCATGCTCCTGGGGCTGGGCGGGCTCTTCACCCAGAGGCTGTGACTGGAATGCGGGCCTGCAGCCCCTGCACAGAGATGGGAAGCAGACGCCCCGGCTGCTGGTTCTTGTCTGCCCCTTTCGTGGAACACTCTTCCTTGGAGTACGAGAGTCTTAGCCATATTCTGGCGGCTTAAGAAACCTGTTTTTTTCAGAGGGGCACCTGGGTGGCCCAAGTGAGTTAAGCGTCCGACTTCGGCTCAGGTCATGATCCTGCGGTTTGTGGGTTCGAGCCCCGCGTCAGGCTCTGTGCTGACAGCTGGGAGCCTGGAGCCTGCTTCGGATTCTGGGTCTCCCTCTCTCTCTCTCTGCCCCTCCCCACTGCTCACACTCTGTCTTTCTCTCTTGCTCTCGCTCAAAGAAAAATAAACATTAAAGAAAAAACATTATGTACTTCAGAGCAAGTACATAAATGCTTTCTTATTGCCAGCTTTTGTGCAATCCCAGGTAATGATGGCATTTTCCTGTCATTAGTTTTGAGCATGCTGGTTTTCTAGTTACCTGTTCAAGGCTTTGTAATTGTCTAACCATCCAGAAACAGCGGTGTTTCAGTACACAGCCAAGCTCTTCTCCAAGTGTTTACCTCAAAGCTCTACAGTTCTGTCAGCTGTTTGGGATTTCATGATTTCCTGTTGATAATGTGAGGGGTCTGCAGACACTCACTTCCCTGCTCAGCCACTTCCTAGCTGAGTGACCTTGGCCAGTTATTATCCAGTGCTTCCGCAGCGGGGGTACGGATGACACTACCCTCAGGGGGTTGGTGTGAGGATGAAATAAGTTAACCCATGTACAGCACCCAGAATAAGCGCCAGTCTTGTGATAAGTGCTCAGCAAATGGCACCATAATTTTCATCACCACGTGAATTTCCATTCCTCAAAATACTTCAGACACTTCAGGGGGTCGAGTCAGAGCACACAGGCCCGTGGGCTGGAGCATGCTTAGTTTGCGGCCATTGTGCCCGTTCTCCATGGCCCTGTTTAGGCTGCTTACACTCGTCCTGGCCAGAGGAAGAATGATAGGATGGATGATGCCTCTTAAGGGACTGCTGGTCAGGGACGCCCAGCTGGCTCAGTCAGTAGAGCGTGCGACTCTTGATTTCGGGTTAGTGAGTTTGAGCCCCATGTTGGGCATAGAGTTTATTTACTTTTTTAAAAAAGTATTACTAAAGACAGCTTTGTCTCTCTTAGCTTGGCACTTGACTCCATAATCCATAAGCCCAGTAAGAATCCCTTCTTCTCCATATGAGGAAGTTGCTTAGCCTTTCCAGCCTCAAAACCATGGGTTATGTTCACGGACAGCCCTAAACATTCATCAGCTCAACAGATGATTTTTTGGCACATACTCTGTGCCAGACTCAAAGTGAACGAGAAACTGTCTGCCCTCGAGGTGCCGTGGTCCTTACCTCAGGCCGTGGGGTCTGCCTCGGCATTCTGCCTTGGGGGTTCTAGGGTGGGCCTTGGCATCCCATCAGAATCCCCCCCCACCAGCCCGGGAGAAGCCCTGATGTTGTACATCATGATTTACATCATGGTTCCTTGCACACCAGCTAGGAGAGGAGTGCAAGCACCAGGGAGGGGCGGCTCCCCCTGGATGCCAGCCGGCCGGCACGGCCGCGTAAGTGCAGGGTGGGCAGGAGGGCTGGGACCAGGAGCGGGAGACAGGTTCAAGACGACAGTCCTGGCAGGCGTGTGCAGGCTTGCACGTTTCAATAGATTTGAAGAAGGTAACACCTGTAGACCTTCAGCGAGCGACTGGAGGCCTAGCAGGCTCTGCATCTGTGGCTTGAGCAGCTGGCTGTAGGGTCGTGCCTTGTGCGGTGGGGGGGCGGGAAAGTCAGGAGTGGAGGTGTGGGTTTGGGATGTGTTTTGACAGAACAGCCCTCTGAACCACGGTGTTTGTTTAGACCCGGCCTATATTACCGCAGCCTGTGGGATGGTGGCAGAAATGGTGGAGGCTTTGCCGTCGGTGTTGGCCTTGGGCCATAAAAGGAATAGCAGCACCCCAGCGTTTCTCACATCGGTGCTCAGGAACATCATCATCAGCCTGGCTCGCTTACCCCTCGTCAACAGCTACACGCGCGTCCCCCCCCTGGTGAGTCTGGTCCCTCCTTGGCGGAAAACCGAAGTTAACGAGATGTGTGGGCAAGCCCCTGGCTGGGGGCCCCTGGGGGGCGAGAGCAGACGTGGACCCCTCAGGTGCTTCCTCTGTGGTACGGAGCCTTTCGTGGCGTGCGCTCAAGGCACCTATCTGATTTCCTTGGGCGTGGTGTCCAGCAGTCGGTAGCAGAAATGCTGGGTTTTCCAAAATGGGGTGAGGCATGACTTCCAGCAGTAAGACTTCATCTCCCACCAGTCGGTACTTCATGTTGGATGTGATTGGCAGGGAACTAGACTCCTTTGTTTAACGGTAGACCAGAAGTGCTACCCCTCGGGTACTTCCCTTTAAAAGCAGTCACCGTCTAGTGTTACTCAGCTGTTTCGGCACAGCCACTTTGGGGTCTCCTCATGCCACGTTGTCCTCAGGATCAGTTTCAAGTCGGTTTTAACAGGGACTCTGTCCCATGGAATAGGAAGTACTTAGTGTGAGCAGTTGAGGGTTGGTGGTGGCCACGTGGCCTCTCCCTGGTGAAGCTGCCTGGGCCCTCACAGCCTGCCCAGATGAGGAGTGGGGTGACAGGGTGAACACGGCAGGTCAAGGTGAGCCAGGAGGACCGAGAGGAAAGGTGCTTGTCTCTGCCCAGAAGGGGCCTGTGCCAGTGGGGCACAGCCTCGTGCGTGTGTGCGAGAGAGGGATTCCGGGTCCGCTGCGCCGAGGGAGCACGCAGAGGGTGCTGCTAGGGAAGGGAAGCCGGCCCCCACCGGCGGCCTGTGCTCTGCACGCAGGACGTCACCACAGGTCCTGAGACAGCTGCGCGTCTGGAGAGGAACGGGGAACGCTGTGGGAGGCGCAGTCCCAGAGGTCACTGTGCCTGGAGTAGAAGCCACAGTGTGCCGGCACGGATCCCGTGCTGTAGGGGGGCCCTTCAGGCAGGGGCCTGAGCCCGCAGGGAGTGGTGGTGAGGAGGGCGCAGCGAGCAACTTAGACGGGGGAGAGAGACCCGGCGTCTTCCCAAGGTGAACGCGAGGCACCAGAGCCGTCAAGGGCTGGCTGTGTCTCTGAGGCCCCCACGGGTGGGCCTGAGGAATCCAGAGCTGAGCCCTCGGCCTGGGCGCCCCAAGTCCTCTTCGGCTTTGCCGGAGCGGTCAGCTCAGCTGGCGGGGGGCTTGGCCGCTCCCGCTGCCAGGACCGCCTCAGGTCAACCTCGGGCCCACCTTCCGTTCGCGGAGTTTAGAAGTGCGAATGGCATGGCTTCTTGCGGCTGCTCACCAGTGAACGTCCTACGTGCAGCCTAATAACTTCTTTATCTCACACACCGGCTCTGGGGGGGAGGGGGCCCCTGCCCGCATGTGATGATGACCCGGGCACTGCCAACGCGGGCCCTCTGGAACCTGACTTCCCGAGCTGCCAGCCTGGGGAGCGGTGGGGTGGCAGCTGCTAGGGGGAAGGGGCTGGGTCAGGTTGGGGAGCAGGCAGGTTGGGGAAGGGGCGGTCAGAGCGGATAAGGGGCACATGACGGGGAAGGAGATCCTCAGACAAAGCACGGGAGCTGTTTTCCCAGGAAGGCGGTGCACTCGCTTTCGGGAATGTGTGCACACGCAGTCAGGGGGCCGCTGGCCTCCGGAGGGAGACCGTGCTTAGAGAGATTGTACTTCATGGTGTCCTCACAGTATGGCTGTCCTGACTTGACTGGGGTCCCTTTCTTTTTCATCTTTCAGGTTTGGAAACTTGGATGGTCACCCAAACCGGGAGGGGATTTTGGTACAGCGTTTCCTGAGATCCCAGTGGAGTTCCTCCAGGAGAAGGAGGTCTTTAAAGAGTTCATCTATCGCATCAACACTCTAGGTAGTCTGGATTTCTCTTTCAGAAACGGTAGACCTCAAGGCGCGTTCTTGCCCGTTTCTTCTCGGTTATTCCATAAGGAGCTGGGGCAGGATGTGATCATGTGTGAATAGTGCATCCTGCAGTGTGTATGAAACTGTCACGATGAAAAATTCTTGCCAGGTTGGTGTGGTATTGGGTGTGGTGGGCGGCGGGGGGAAGGTTAAATGCCAAGTTTTCATACACCAGGCTCGTTCGGAGTCAGGACCGGCGCCTGGTGATACGGATGATGTGTGGCCCAGTTCGGTCTGTGCCCCGCGCTGCTGTCCTGCCTGGCGGGGGCGGTTTTGTCTCCGCGTGCTCTTGTGTGGTCACTGATGCCCTTCTCTCCGGTGCAGGGCGAGCAGGCGGGGGAGGGGTGGAGCCAGCACGGCCGGCCGAGCAGGGGGAAGGTAGACTGCATTGTGTCAGACAGCACGGGACTCTGGGTGAAGGGGGCAGGTCACCTCCACCTCCGGGACCCCTGGCTTTGTCATCCACGGTGTCACGACGGATTCAGAAACTAAGAGAGACCCTCCTAGAAACTCAGTAAATCGTATCAGTACTTTCCGGGTCAGGGTTCCTGCCTGCTTTCTGCAGCACGGTGGAAGTTACGGTGTTTTTGTCCCCATTGTGCGGCTCGACGTGTGGTCTGGTGGGAGGGTCGTAATTGGTAGATCTGGGGTGTTTGTCTTGTGAGGCGGGTGTGGGCATCTGCTTGCACGATGGGCCCGCCCTTTGTCTCCGGCTTCTGCACATTTTGTGCTTCTTCTGATCCCAGAAGGTTCAGGCAGCCGACACCCTCTCGTGTCTACTTTTGCTTTTAGTGAAGCAGACAGTTCATGACCCTGTCCAGAGTGAAACCCAGCAGTGACCCAAGACCAGAGCCTTGGGAAGCTCGGTTTCTTTCCTCTCCTTGGAGGTGGTTACCAGGCAGCCTCCCGGCCACCCTGTGTGACATCCAGTCCTTTTCTCACCCAGGCATCTTCGTGCCCGAATTGTCACTCAGACCCCGGGCAGCTCCACGGTCTCTTCCTGATGTGGCCTTTGCTCGTGCCTTTTTTTGTGTGCTTCCTGTTCTTTTCCCGTAAATCAGTGGCGTAGGCCTCCATATCTCCAGCAGCCTCACCAGGTCAGGCTGTCTGCATCCACTCCCCATCTGAGTCACTCCTCCTCCCTCTGTGTCCACTTCTACCAAGGGGATCCTGAAGGTTGATGCTCTGGTTTTCCTGCCCTCAGCACCCCCTCCCCATCACTTGTGGCCCGAACACCAGTGGCACGGCCACCCTCACCTGGCAGGTCACGAGTGGGAACAGGCAGCGCTCGGCTCTCAGACACGAGCACTCCTCACACGCTCCGTGAGGGCCGCCGGTGGCGATGCTGCTTGTGGGCGGCCCGCCAGATGCGGCGCCCCGGCAACGTTCCATCCCTTTTTAATCTGCCGCTCTTCTAAGATGGGGTCCAGAGCAACCATTGCTTTTACGTTTTTAGTTTGAGCAGCTTTATTGAGACGGACTTCGCAGAGTACGCACTTCACCCACTCCCAGCGTGCGGTTAGCGGTCTGCTGTTCGTACAGGGTTACGCAGCCCGTGGCCCAGGGTGGTGGTCTGACTTTGTGGAAGACTTGTCAGCCCTCTGTAAGCAGGGCAGAAGCAGTTCTGAATCCGACCAGGGTAGCCCGCTGGGACGTCCCCACATCTCCACAGCGGAGGGCCGAGAGGGTGCCTGGGCTGAACTCCTCCAGTGCCGCTTGCTTGCGTGGCCTCAGACGTGTGCCTCCGTGTCCTCGCTGGTGGCGTGGAGCTGGCAGTGTGGCGGCATTTTGGAATTGGCGTGTGCGGCAAGGGGGCTGCTGTATGTGGTGCCCCAGGGCAGCGTCTGGTCAGGCCCAGCTGCCCCTTCACATCTAGGAGTTTGGGGAGCGGGTAACCCTCCGTCTCACGCGACGTTTACATTCCTAGGGTGGACCAGCCGCACCCAGTTTGAGGAAACGTGGGCCACCCTCCTCGGTGTCCTGGTGACTCAGCCCCTCGTGATGGAGCAGGAGGAGAGCCCGCCGGAAGTAAGGCCGTGTGCAGGCCCGTGCGTCCACTGGTTGGCACACGGGCAGTTACAACAGCTGATGGATTGTTTGTGGTGGCCTAAAGAAGGGCTGCATGCTCGTTTTCTTGGTCTTGTTTGTAGAAGACTAGCCAGTTCATACTAGACTGGTGTTGTACAACAGGAGCAACCCCCCCCCCCCCCCCCCAAGTCTGAGTGGCCTGGGTTCCCACTGGGTTCCCAGTACAGTTCATCGTAGTGCATTACATGTTAAGGGTCAGAATGGTTACACCCTTTCTTGAAAATATTTGTGAGTTCCGTTTATCAGTTTTCAGATGCAGTGTGGAGGTTGAATCGAATGAAAAGGCTCGTTATAAAGACCATGTACGCATGTGTACCTGCATCATTTGCAGAGATTTATCAAGCGTCTTGGAATGTCAGGGGACCTTATGTTACTATAATGTTAGCAAAAGCCATGTTCTGATAAGGCAAAGCCTGAGATATTGAAAGTCACGGGATAGAAGTCCCTAATTCTGCTAGAAGGTGTGGTACAAACTTGTAGAAATGAATGTTCAAAGAGTAGACATATGTCAGAAATCCAGATTGTCTTTTTTTCTTTTTTTTTTTTTTTAACATTTATTTATTTTTGAGAGACAGAGCACGAGCTGGGGAGGGGCAGAGAGAGGGAGGGAGACCCAGAATCTGAAGCAGGCTCCAGGCCCTGGGCTGTCAGCACAGAGCCCAGTGCGGGGCTCGAGCTCATGAACCGTGAGATCATGACCTGAGCCGAAGTCGGACGCTTAACTGACTGAGCCACCCAGGTGCCACCAGATTGTCTTTAAATTCATGTGTAGAATTAACAGGTTGTCATATGCAAAGTCCCTAAAATTAGTGAGGAAATTTCAGGGCAATTTCTTAAAAAGTAATTTGTGTTTGGAGATTTGTATCTATAAGAGACCTTGTTTTGAAAGGTGGACATTTGCCCATTAGATTCGTTTCAAGTCACAGATGCGTGTAGGTGGTGGCATCAGGCCAGACAAAACAGGACCCTTGCTGGGAGGTGTGTGCCCCTAGCGCTCGGGGCTCTTCCCCGCAAGACCACGTGGCCTGAGAACCATGGCCTCCAGGCTCTGTGGGCCGGTGGGTGTCTGGCCGCTCGTGACTTGGTAAAGCATGGACTCTCCTTCTAGGAAGACACGGAGAGGACCCAGATCAACGTCCTGGCCGTGCAGGCCATCACCTCACTGGTGCTGAGTGCGATGACTGTGCCCGTGGCCGGCAACCCGGCCGTGAGCTGCCTGGAGCAGCAGCCCCGGAACAAGCCCCTGAAAGCTCTCGACACCAGGTGAGGCCAGCGAGGCACACAGAGTGACCGACACCTCCTCCCCGGGCCCTTGCCCTTGTTGCCAGAATTACAAACACAACACTTGTGCGTGTTGCTTGCCGCAAGAGGTGCAAATCCAGAGGTGATCTGGTGACCCGTGGCAGTGAGGCCTGGGTGTTCAGGACGGACTCTGGCAGAGCGAGGGCTAGCCCAGGGCCCGGGGACAGGAATCGCCTCAAAGGAAGTGCCGTTTGCTGTATCGGTGCCTGTGTTTCCTTTAGGCAAAGCTGGAGGAAGCCCTGAGGTTTTTGGCTTTTGAGGTTTCGATGGAAGGAAAATACTGTTTTTAACCTTTGTTCTGAACTTCAGGTTTGGGAGGAAGCTGAGCATTATCAGAGGAATTGTGGAGCAAGAAATCCAAGCAATGGTTTCGAAGAGAGAGAACGTCGCCACCCATCACTTGTACCAAGCGTGGGACCCCGTCCCTTCTCTCTCTCCAGCCACTACAGGTACCTGTGGGAGGACAGGCCATTCGCCCCTGGGCCGGGATGAGAATGTGCCCGAAATACTAAAGAGGAGGCTGCGATACTAAACGTGCTGCCCTAATTCATGACCACGAGTGTTGCTCAGGACCAGGGAATTTTATCAGCCTTGCGGAGCTCGAGTCTGGTACTGAACTGGAGTCGTGTCTCTCCCCAGTCAGGCCTTTGGAAGCAGAACTGGTCACTTACATGAAAAATCAGACTCCATCAGTGATTCCCGTGAACCTCCAGCTTCTTGGGAGAGAGCACCATGGCAAGGGCAGGCCGCACTCTCTGAGAGCCCCTCGGGGCCGGGCGCCCCTGAGCCCAAGCTCTCCGTCCCTGGCTGCTGTCCCTCCCCCAGCGCTGCACCTGCTTTGTCTGCACCGCAGGCTGTGTGCCTGCCCCTGAAATGGGTGCTCGAGTTTGTCACCCTGGGTTACAAGACGAGAATTTTGTGTGCACACGTTTTCTGTTGAAAAATAATATTTTAGCGCAGTGTTTTTCTGATCCCCTAGTTTATTTTAGGAATTGTTAGATCCTGCGATTTTAAGCACCTTAAACGCATCATCCAGAAAATGTTCTGTGTAGAAGTGTACTTACCGGGGCATTGAATTAAAGTCAGGACTGTGAACTTGGATGGCCATAGATCCAGTGAGGATTATGCCCACCAGGAGAAAGAAGTGGCGTCACCCGGTGTCACAGGAAGCAGGAGAGAGTAGGTGCCAGGAGGAGTGCCAGCGCTCCAGGAGCCCTGAGCAGAGCACGTGCTGCCAGGGCAAGGGGCACGGGAAGCCTCTTGGAAGACGGCGTGTTGATGCTCGATCTGGCAAAGGGTTAACTAGGGGTTAGCCAGGGGCAGGGGTCGTTTGTTCTGGGGTGTGGAGGGTGTAAAAGACTGACTGTGGAAAAGATGGGTCAGTTGAGTAGGGGCTTCTGCCTGCACCCCACTCTGGTGGGCACAGCTGGACAGCCTGGGCACCAAAGCAGGGTCCTGGGAATTGTTGCCCACTGACATGGTCTGGCCCCCAGAGCAGAGTGCCCCCCTGCTGGGCCGTCGCACCATCTGCAGCTGCCAACTGGTTTTTGCAGCTCAGGCCCCAACCAGTTCCCCTGCAGAGTCCTAAGCTGGTTTGTTACAGAGAAAAAGTGATCATTCACTATTGCCCCACTGGCTCTCCCAGCTTAATGGGTTACAAAATGGCAGAGAAAACCCCAGAGACCCTCCGGGCTCTGCAGAGCTGTGCCATCCTGCCAGCGGGTCTGGGCAGGCGCTGCCGGGCCGACGCCGCGCAGGGCAGCATTCACGGTGTTCTCGCCCGCAGGTGCCCTCATTGGCCACGACAAGCTTCTGCTGCAGATCAACCCTGAGCGGGAGCTGGGGAACATGAGCTACAAGCTCGGCCAGGTCAGTCACATCCGCGTGGCCGGTCACGTCCCCCAGCTCTCCTCGCCGTCCCTTGTCAGCCTTGGATCCGGGCCATTTAGTACATCCAGAGGAAAAGTTACGTGTGGTTTTTAAATAAAAGGAGCGTTTTTCTTTTATTTGTTCCTATATGCTCTACTCCAAGGAGGACTTAAAGGGTCTCGTGCACGTACTGGTGTAGGCGTGTGCAAAGGTAGCGAGATGGTGTGAGTTAGACTTGGGTCCGGGGCATCACACAGGCGAGAGCGGCACGGGTGGGGCGAACACAGAGAGGGGCCCGTGTTCTGAGGGGCCACCAGTTTCGCCACGAGTGTCCCAGCTGCCAGCTCAGAGGGAAGTGTGGTCCCATAGTGCAGTGTGGCGGATGGGCTGGCTCTGGGCCCCAGGTGACGGCTTACTGGGTGGGTCACCTTGAACTATACTCGGTTTTCCCGTCAGAAAAACAGGACAGTCACGCATATGACAGTGAGGTTGGAGGAGCTGGGGAACAGGGACGTGGCCCCTGGAGCTGTGAGGGGGTGTGTGCTGGGCGGAAGGACTCGGTGTGGCAGCCTGATGACTGCTCTGTCCACGCCGTGTCCTCTCAAACCTCACTGGGTTACTTAGCAGGTATGCGGGACTGTTTTCTTGTTAGCTGTTGTCGCGGAGGACACTGGTCAGAGCAGGGTTTGGAAATACTGGTCTGTTCCGAGGGCAGCCCCGTCCCTTCGGGGCACAGGCTTGCAGCAGAGACCCCAGGCCTCCTCTGTCCCACCCTTTCCTGCCCACACACGTTCCTCTATGATCAAGGAGTCACAGGCAGGCCGTCCGAGCTCTGTCCCTGCAGAGAAGCTTCTGTCCTTGAGACAAGTTGAGGTGATGGAGCTCAGTGTCATTTCTACGGGAGTGTTTCTGAGGAGCAGGCTATGAGTGAGCAACGTTGGCTCTTGGGGTGGCGCCTGGCCTTATTCTGGTACACTGATGTTTGCCCGGCTGGGTCCTTTCTTCAGCACCTGTGTTCACGTCTAGCTGCAGAGAATTGAGTGTAGTGCGTTTACCTGGGGCTGAGCCCTGAACCCACCCTGCCCTGCTAACAGGCCAGTTGGCTCCCAAATCCCTCCACGCTGAGCCATCACTGGCTGTTGGGGAATGAGGGGAGCAGGGGGGCCACCCTCTCTCAGAGCTTGAAGATTGCTTGAGGCCTTGCAGCCCCTAGTCCGTCTATGGTGGCCACCTCCAGCCTGCCCTCCTGTTGCCAGTCCTCCACGGCGGGTGGGGTCGGAAGGGGAGATGGCTGTCCGTGCAGAGTGGGAATTGGGGCCGGTGTCCCGGATGGTGGTGGGAATGCAGCACACACTCGCTGGCAGTGTGGATGCCATGCCATGTGCCGGAGGGCCCCCTCGTGAACAGAGCAGACGTGGGAGCACGCTGCCCTGCCGGGGGGGAGGGGAGGGGGGGTGGGGGGAGGGGCACTCCCCTGGTGGACAGATCGACTCCTGTTCCCAGCACTGCTGCCGCCATCCCCAGAACAAGCACAGGAAGGGCACGGGGGTCTGCAGCTCAGGGGACCGACACCTGTGCCTTGACCACTGAGCCCTGTGTCCTTGTCTCCTGAAGGTGTCCATTCACTCCGTGTGGCTGGGGAACAGCATCACGCCCCTGAGAGAGGAAGAGTGGGAGGAGGAGGAGGAGGAGGAGGCCGACGTCCCCACGTCTGCATCACCACCCACATCGCCGGTCAACTCCAGGTTTCTTATCTGCCGTTCATTTCAAGCGATTTGAAATTTCCCATCAGTCATTTGATGTGATTGGGGCACCCCTTGAAACAGGCCTCTCATCTTGCGTACTCTGCAGGAAGCACCGGGCTGGAGTCGACATCCATTCCTGTTCCCAGTTTTTGCTTGAATTGTATAGTCGCTGGATCCTGCCGTCAGGGTCAGCCAGAAGGACCCCCATCATCCTGATCAGCGAAGTGGTCCGATCTGTAAGTCTGCCTCCCCCGTTGCCCCTGCACGTGCGCACGGGGCTCGTGACGGCACACACGCAGACACGGGTGCTCGCACGTACGCACCAGTACGGACACTGCACGCTCACGCAGAGTTTGCGGTCTCTGGGAACCCGGGAAGGAACTCTCGGGGTTTCACGGATGCAGGATGATCCACAGCTCTCCAGCCAGTGGAGCGGCCATTTCCGATTTTCCAATCCGTGGCCCATCGATGCCCTTTTCGGTACGGTGGAAGTAGTGCAGGAGCGGCCCATCGTACCACGGTTCTCGAGGCCACGTGACATAGCCACGTTTGTCTCCACAAGGGTCTGTTTCTTAAATGTCGGGTTTGTCAGAAGAGAGTTGTGCAGACAGTGCCACCACCACACCCCCTTTGAGGGGCTCTGGTGTGGAGCCGTCGTCAACTGCGGACCAAGGCTGCCGCACGCGCGGGGACCCCGGAGAGTGGGTTACACCCGTCAGTGTTGACGGTGCCGGAAGTGAAATCTGTGGGGTTTGCAAACGGCTCCTCGTGAGACGCCGCATCAGCATTTTTACCATCGTCTGGCGAGAAGCAAGCAGGAGTCTGAAGCTGAAGACCCTGGGTCCCTGTCTCCTGCCCATTGACCCCCTACCGCCAGCCATCTGCGCGGTCTCTGCGGCACGGGTTTCCCTCACCTAGGCCTCGGTGGCACCTCTGCCCGGTACCTGCAGGCGGGAGTTTTGAGCCTGGCTGTTCTCAGTTCGCACCTTCTAAGGCTCCTAAGTTATTTTCCATTTGGTCAAGTTGAGAGTTTTAAGAATTTCATTTTTAATTTGTAATAAAAGTTTACAGTTTGATTTTTTTTTATCAATAAATTACAAGCACCTGTAATAAAGGCCTTTTTGTAAGTTATTAATCCATTTGAAATAACAGTGATAATTTTTGAGGTTTGGGGTTTTTTGGGTTTTTTTTTTTTTACATGTTTATTTAATTTTGAGAGAGAGATTGAGCCAGGGAGGGGCAGAGAGAGGAGACACAGAATCTGAAGCAGGCTCCAGGCTATCTGCTCCGCATTCAGGCTGATAGTAATACGAAAGGACTTTGAGAAAACACCGCCCTGTGGTCAGAGGAGAACAGAGGTGAAAAGGCGGATAAGGGTCTTGATGTTACCACAAAAGTGGTTCTGACCTTGAGAAACCCGGGAGGTCCTCCAGGGTCCACCACGTCCACCTTCAGAAGGGCTGCTGTGGCGACTTGCTGAGCCCCGCTGTCCTCCGGGGCCTCTGAGGAGGCGCAGCGTCCCTAAAGAGCAGACACGCACTCGCCTCAGTGACGCTTATGCGTAGGTGGTGTCATGTGAAGAGGTGAACAACAGAGAACGGAACATTTTGGGGAGACTGAGTTGCCAAGCTTTTGTTTCTGAAACAGCTGCCCCTTCCTCTGTCCCAGGGCTTTGGAGAGCCCGTCCCCTCTGCTGCCCAGAGACCTAGTATCTTGCAGAATAACAGCTAGAGAGCTTCTCAGAGGTTCCGCCGCGCTCGTGACTGAGATCCGGGCGCTCGCCCTCGGTGGGCCGCACAGATGCAGGGGGATTTGAAGAAGATATTGGGTGGCCCGCTCTTCACGTTACCTGTTCCCATTGGATTGTACGTCCCCAGTCAGGGCCCCTGTCAATTCCCACATTTAAATGTCTCGGGGATGTTGGCACATGTATTTTGGACTTTGTGGCTTACTTCCTGTCTGAATGCTCTGCGTCCCCAGCTCCTAGTGGTCTCAGACTTGTTCACTGAGCGCACCCAGTTTGAGATGATGTATCTGACGCTGACCGAGCTGAGGAGGGCGCACCCTGCAGAAGACGAGATTCTCATTCAGTACCTGGTCCCTGCCACCTGCAAGGCGGCTGCCGTCCTCGGAATGGTAAGCCCCAGGCGGTGCGGAGGCCACCTCGTACTGGCTGCATGTCGTGGCCGTAGGGAGCCTCGGCCTTGGAAGGCCTGACCCGGAAGGAGAGTGGGAGGACTCGGTTCTAACATCCCTGCCTTTCTGCAGGTCACCGTGAAGCGTGTTATGGTGGCCGAGCCTTGGTTTAGGGCTCTTGTACCCCTTGGCTCTGGGTCATCACGGTGTGGGTAGCGCGAACACGACCGGCCCCTCCTCCTCAGTTGCCCACGCCCCGCCCCCCCCACGCCCCTTTGCTGAAGAGCTGCCGGCTCCCGTGCTTCCCGCCAACAGACCTCCCTCCCGGGGGCCATTTTACCCCAGAAACCCTGCATTTGTCCCCCATGTCCGGATGCCATTGTCTGTTGTTAGCGGGAGGGCAGACTGCCTGCTTTTGCGTTCTTCCTTATTGTGCGCCCAGTCGATCAGAGCTCAGCCGGCGCGGCATGCACCCGCTTTTCTGTGCGTCCGTCACCACGCGGTCCAGGCTAACTGGACGTGATGTGAGCACATGAAGGCGTTTGCACGGGGCCTGCTCTGGTCAGCGGAGGGAAGGACAGAACCTCCGCCGTTAGAAGGAAACAGCTGGACTCCAGGCTGTGCGGGTTTGGCGTGTGCTTGCTCTTTGCTTCGTAGCCTTTACCCGGGATCTGTGGGGCCTCTGCTCCCTGTTTCCTGGAGTCCCATCTTCGCGTTGGTGGTGGAGACTCATTCGTCCACCGAGCATGTGGGGGCTGCCACGGCCAGGGGCTTGGGTCCCTGTGTGGGGCGCGGTGGTGCGGTCCCTCTGCCTCCCCCGTGTTCCCGCTCGGTCCTGTCTGTCCTGACAGTGACCACGAGAACAGGTCTCCTCGCCCAGTCTCACAAAGGTGAGCTCTTGTTTCATCTGGGCCCCAGGAAGCTGAGACCAGGTCACATGGGACATGGCAGAGGTCTGAGTCCACGTCTGTGGCCCAGAGCCCTGACTCTAGCCCCTTCCTGGCTTGGCTCCCCCGTAGAATTCATCCCTCTGACCCGAAGTGCCCAGGCAGGTATCATCCATCCTGGGTGGCCAGAGCCCTGGTGCCACCGTCAGGGAACAGAAACAATGAATCCGTTGGCCTGCCTTCTGTGAGCACATCACTTCAAAGTGTGTGCCCTCCGGGCGTCGAGAGACATGTCAAAGCAGCTGGACTTGAAGGGGTCCTTTTGTCTTTGTGGGGGATTTCAGCTGCTGGGTTCGTTTTCATTGTAATTGTGTTTTTGTGCTCAGGCCCAGGTCCCCCTAGACAAATGTTGTGTTGTCAATAAATCAAATAAACAATCACCATTTTCTAAGAAGACCCTAAGGCAAGACTTGCTGCATGGATACAGACTCCCCACCCTGACGTGCATGCACGGGCCTCTGTGCAGGCAGCCGCGCTCCGAAGCTTGTCTTTTCCTCCTGAGGCACTTACACGGTGTCAGGAAGTATGCGTCCCTTGCTGCACGTCCTGGCGGTGCTTCCAGAGGCAGGGGCTGGATGCACGGCGGCACCGTCCTTAGGAAGGCGTCGCACCGCCGTGGTGCGTGTGCGTCTGCTCTGGGCGGGGCCTGCAGGGACCCTCAGGTGCCAGTAGCCACCTTTCCCAAGTGGGGTGGCTTGTGGAGCCCTGGGGTCACCCCCACTTCCACACCGTTTCCTGTGGCTGCCTCTTCTCTAAAAGGAGCGTCTTGATGGAGGCATGTGGCATGGAGCGCGAGGGTTCTGCTGCGCCCTACTGTGTCGAGGGTGCTAACGGCCACGGGTAGTATTTTGGTTCAGGTCAGTGCAGACTACCGTTAGGGGTCCCCAAGACCACCCTGCGTTTTTTCTGGGAGGATTCACATATACTCATGGCTGGGATTTACCCCGGTGAAATCGAAGCACAGTCGGCACAGGGTAAAGGGGGGCGGGGGGGCAGGTCCCAAGGGGCAGGTCCCAGGTGCCAGCTGCCAGCATCCTCTCCCGGGGCGTCAGGTGGGGCGCGTTGTGACAACACGTGTGGAGTCTCGGCCGCCAGGGGAACGCATTAGAGACACAGAGCAGGGCTCCCGCCGGCGGCCGGTCCCTCGGGCCACTCTCCCTGGCACGGCCCAAACCGCAGGCCCCCGAGAGGAAGGTGTCTGCGCGGACACGGCATTGGCGTGACCGGGTGAGGCACAGGGGCTGCTCTGGTCAGTGGGGGAGCCGGGGACGCTCCCACCAGCCGGGTGCCCGGACGCCCGCTCAGGGGCCTCTGGGGGGCCTGCTGCCGGAGCTCCTGCACCCAGTCTTCCTCTGTAGCTTAGGTCAGCCCCTCGTTGGCCTCTCCCGATCCGTCGTGGGCAAGCCTCTGCTCCTGTGCCTGTGCTCTAGGACAAGGCCGTGGCCGAGCCCGTCAGCCGGCTGCTGGAGAGCACACTGAGGAGCAACCACCTGCCCAGCAGGGTCGGGGCCCTGCATGGCGCCCTCTACGTGCTGGAGTGTGACCTCCTGGATGAGACAGCGAAGCAGCTTGTCCCTGTCATCAGCGACTACCTCCTGTCCAACCTCAAAGGGGCAGCCCAGTGAGTGGCACTGGCTGCGTGGGGGTCTTGGCGTGGACCGGGGGAAGGGCGGGGTCGTACACCAGGTCCTGGGGCCCAGGTGGGCCCCCTTCCGTGGGGACGGGGGCGGAGGTCCTGGCGACATAACACGCACCGTCAGACCGGCCCGTATCTCCTGGTTTCAGCTGCGTGAATGTTCATAGCCAACAGCACGTGCTGGTGATGTGTGCCACCGCCTTCTACCTGATTGAGAACTATCCCCTGGACGTAGGCCCAGAATTCTCTGCGTCGGTAATTCAGGTGAGCAGCCTTGGGCGCCTTCCTCTGGAACGGACGTGTGTGCGCGCTCTGTCCCCTGCGGGTGGTACTCTCAGAGGAGCAAGCACGAGTGGCGGGGGCCTGACCCAGAAGTCTTCCTTGTGTTCAGATGTGTGGGGTGATGCTGTCCGGGAGTGAGGAGTCCACTCCGTCCATCATTTACCACTGCGTCCTGCGGGGCCTGGAGCGTCTTCTGCTCTCCGAACAGCTGTGCCGGCTGGATGCTGAGTCCCTGGTCAAGCTGAGTGTGGACAGAGTGAACGTGCACAGCCCGCACCGGGCCATGGCTGCCCTGGGCCTGATGCTCACCTGCATGTACACAGGTGCGGGGTGTGGGGTACGGGGCCCCAGAGACTGGCCCGGGCCCACCTGTGCCTGCCAGCTCAGTGCCACCGAACTCCAGACCATACGGATCTGCTGTCCAAGTGAGCGAGAAGCATGTTCATTCTTGGACACAGACCCCACGACCCCACCGCACTTCAGGAAGATTCTAGAGCAGGGGCTTGCGGTTACTGGCTCAAGGCCGCATTGCTGTGTAGGCTTCAGAGCCCAGCCCAGGGAGCAGGTCTGCAGACTGACCACTGCACCCCATGTACCCACGGGGTGGGCCAGGCCCTGGGCGGCTGAGCTCTCCTGTCACTTGATTTCACGTGATCTCTCAGGCTTCGTTGAACTCCCTAGTGGGTTTAAGGTGTGGTCTTCAGAGCAAGTAACAGTACACAATGATTTGTTCCAGGGAAGGAGAAAATCAGCCCAGGCAGAACCTCAGACCCCAGCCCCGCCGCCCCAGACAGCGAGTCCGTGATCGTGGCTATGGAGCGTGTGTCCGTTCTTTTCGACAGGTGAGAAACGCCCGCCTTTGCCCTGAGCTGCCCTGGGACGCTCGCCGGGAGCAGCTGCCTTCCCCCGCACCTGCTCCCTTCTCAGCCCTGCGCCCGTGGCCCGCGGTTTCCCCGCTCTCCCCCTGACTGCACACATGCCTCACTTGGCTCTGCGGGAGCGGCCAGTCCTTGGGCCCCAGCACCGGGGAGCTTGGGGTGTCCCTCTCCCGTGAAGGTTGGGGGCAGCCCCTGTCAGTGTGGAGGCATCGGGTGGGGCATGTGAACCGGACAGGCACGTGGAGTTCTGAGCAGTAATGGAGATGTCTGTGGGACACTGCTGCCTTTGGGCGGGGAGTCTCACCATCAAAGCAGGCTTGG